CCAACCAGTCCATCCTAAGGGAAATCAGTCCTGAATATTCATTGCAAGGACTGATGCTGAAGCTGAAACTCCAATACTTTGGCCACCTGATGAGAAGAACTGACTCCTTGGAAAAGACCCTGATGATGGGAAGGATTGAAGGCAGGAGGAGAAGAGGATGACAGAGGATGAGATGGTTGGATGGCATCACCAACTCAATGGACATGAGTTTGAACAAGCTCCAGGTGTTGGTGATGGACAGGGAAGCCTGGCGTGCTGCAGTTCATGTGGTCACAAAGAGTTGGACATGACTGAGTGACTGAACTGAACTGAATTGGTAGAGGGAGAATTCACAGAAGAGGAGAACACAGACACACAGAGAAGGTGATGTGAACACAGGTGGACTGAGGGTTGGTCTCTGCTGGGGGTGATGGAGTCCTCAGTGGTAGATGCGGCCATGTTGGCCTCAGTGTGTAGAGGTCCATGTGGTGAGCCCACACTTGACCTCTGTCCCTGCCATCATTGGCCACTGTGTTCACGAGCCCATTGGACAATGACAGGAGTGGCTGGGGAAAGAGGCTGACTGGTACTGACGGAGCTGGTCATCTCAGCCCCTTGATTATTTAAATCCTTTTCTGCTGAGGTCCCCTTTTGGTGAGCATTCCTGTGGTACACAAATATCTTCATGATTTTCCTTGTCTTATCCTAGAAGCCTCATCACTCGTTCTCCTCCATCTCCTCCAGCACTTGTTTCCTTTTAGAATTCTCTCAACTAGAGTTATCTACAGGGTCCAGTGTTACTGCATTTTTGGGGGCATATTGGTGGGTTAATGAGTAGATCTACACAGGTAAAATTTCCACTGAAAACTAAAATGTTTTAGGTTGAAATTTTATTCAAGTGTGTTTTTTCATTTTAAACAGATTAGATGTTATCTTTAAAAAAATTCAAATTTAATAAGATAAAGATATGTTTATAATCTTTTCTATTTAACAAACTATACATGTTTATTTCTGAACATATTTATTTATTATTTTTCTAAGTGCTAGCCCCAAAGTGTGCATAATTGTACATTTTTGTAATCACTTAAAAGTTATTTAGATTTCTGCATTTTTGACTTAGCATTAAATTATTGTCTATGTTCCTTCTCTACTGCTTAAGAAAATGTAAGTTGTTACAGCAAATAAATTTGAAATGTAGGCAATTTTTGTTGCCTTAAAACAATAGAAATTTATATCTCACTCACATAATAGTCCAATGTGGATGTTGCTGGCGGGCAGAGACTCTTGTCCATCCAATGAGGAGGTAGGGACTCAGGTATTTTCCATCTTCTAGTGCTGGCATCTCCTAGAGCTGCATGGTCACCTGTGTTGAGCCTTTGCAAGGGGAAATAAACAGTGAGGAGAAAAGTGTACTAATGTCTCTGTGAACAAACGTCTCTAGCCAGAATAAACACGCATTACTTCTGTTCTTTCTCACACTGGTTTTTCCCTCATTTTGAGAATTGGTCGCATGGCTGCATGTAGCTACAAGGGTGGGTCTGGAGGATGTAGCCCCGTCTGTTGCCCAGCATCAGCTCTGCCCTGTGGAAGAGGAGCACAACTCTGTGGACTGTTCACCCAGTCTGCCCAACTGCTCAATCTTTATGATTACCCTTTTAGATGGCTGAAGAATATTCCATACATCACACTTTGACAGGTTCTTCTTTATTAGACATTTATAGGAATTGTTTTAAATTTTTCACCTGTAATATTTAGATCCCACTTTAGGAAATGTGTACACACACATAACTTTCCCCCCTTTGAGAATTATTTCTATAAGAATAATTCTGAAAAAGTGGGAGAGAGAGAAAATAATGAATTTAAGTTACAAATATTTTTCAGGCTTTGGAATATATAGGCTTACTCCTTGAGAATAGTGTTTAGTTTTTCTTCATTGCTGCATACGCAAGGTCTTCAACATTGCTTGTTTCATGGTAATACTCAAAATGAGTTGAATGATGGAATAAAATATAACAAAAGCATGTGGAACATGATATATCATGGCTCTGGATAAAGTGAATGTAATTTTTGTCCTATATCTTTCCCATCTTAATAAATGGTACCATCATTCATCAGATTATTAAAGGTAGAAGCTGGGAGTTGACTCATTTCCTCACTGTCCCTGTTTTAGTTATTTATTTCCGTGTAAGAAATTATGACAAAACTTAGAGGCTTAAAATAACAATGGATATTTATTATCACTCACAACTTCTGTGGGACAGGAGGCAGGTTGTTTTGGCTGTCACAGCTGCATATTGGTGGGGTCTCGGCGGTCCAGGGCAGGATGGCTCACCTGCACACTTACACAGCTGTAAAGTGATGCTGGCTGTTGGTGGGAGAACTCAGGTGCTCCTGGTCCAGGTGGCTGCACAGGGCCTCCTTGAATGTCCCAGTGACATGGTGGCCGCTATTTCTCAGAGTGAGCAATCTAAGACAGCAAGGCAGAAGTGGCAGTGTCATTTATTGGGAAGTCACACACCTTCACTTTTGCACTGTTCTGCTGATCACCCAGATCTTCCTTATTCACTGTGGGAGGGGACTGTACCAAGGCATGGATGCCAGAGGCATGGATTGTTGGGGGCTATCTTGAAGGCTGGCTGCCATAGTGTCTCCATTCCATATTTCATTCTACCCACTTGTTCTGTTCATTCTCCTTCCAAAGATACATTCAGATATAATCACTTCTCTTCATTTCTACTGCTTCTAGTCTAGTCTGAGACAGGGTCCACACTCAGCTCTGCCGTGATAGCCTTCCATCTGGTCTTTCTCCTTTTTCTCTTCTACTTCTCACTCTCTAATGCATTTTTTCACATAGCAGCCACTCACTCATCATTCATTCATTTTTTTCTATTAGTTAATTCTATTAATTTTTTATCAATGAACAGAATTAATTATAGAAAATCTATTCATCATTCATTTTTTCTGTTAATTCTATTAAATATATTTATTGCATACTTATCATATGCTAGGCTTGTTCTAGATTCTTAAGAGTATAGCAGTGAGATATATAGTGAGGAAATAATAAGATGGAAAATATTAAAGGGTTATGTGTGTAACCCAAAGGACTAAACAGGGAAAGGAAAATAGAGGACAAGGAAATTAGGGACTTATGTGTGCTGTACTATATAGGGCTGTCATACGTTCTGTCTTTGATTAGTTGACATTGAATAGTAACCGAAAGACAGGAAGAGGCAGGCATATGGATACTTGGGTAAGGGTGCTCTAAGCAGAGGAAAGAGCAAGTACAAAGCATGCTTGATGTGTGTGAGGAACAGGAGACCAACCAGTGTCATTGGAGCAAAGAGACGGAGGGGAGTGGAGAATGGCAGGTGATGGGGTCAGATCACGGAGGGCCTGGTAGACTGAATACTTTGACTTTACCTGGGGTTGGTGGGACATGAGGACAGTCCTTGGAATGTTTTGCTAATATGATATGACTTGCTTTTTAATAAGATCTTTTGGATTGCTCAGCCTGTGATCTTTATAACTGATAAAGGTCAATTCCAGTGCTTAAAACCCTTCCATGGATTCCTGGAATACCTAGAGTAAAATCTAAGCCCTGTTATTAGCTATTATTACTATAATTGTTATTGCTATTATTAAAATTAACACCCCATTATTATCACAGATCCTGCTGAGTTTTTTTCTGGTATCTATCCAACTAGTAATTACTGTTAATACTATTATTACTATTACCACTGCTACTATGTTTATTTGTTTATAATCTACCTCATCCACTTGAGAATATATACTCTGAAGATGTTGTAGCTGAGTGTCTTTCCATACTAAATTATCCCAAAACTGCTTTATTTTTGGAGCTCTTGTGTTTGATCTTTAAGAAATTTTTTTCCCTATATCTTTCCTCATTGTCATATTTGGTCAATGACCTACTTCCAGCAATGCTCTTATTGGTGCCAGGGTAACTTTGCAGTTGTGCTGGACATAAGAGCTGGTCTTGGCTTCAAGGCTATGCCAGTACTTCTCAGACTTTAATGGGCAAGTGAATCATGTGGAAGGGTAGGGATCTTACTAAGTGTGGGGTGGGCCTTGAGGTTTGGCATTTCTCCCAAGTGATTCCCATGCCACTGGTTTTTTAAGTAAGGAGAGGGTTTGATCACCAAACTTGACTGGATGTTGGAAGCGCCTGTGGAGCTCAGGCTCCTCCCCTGCCATGCCTGATCCTGAGGCACTCTTAGTACTAAGAAGTTTCCAGTTCTCATTAATGATTCTAGTGGGCAGCCACATTTGAGAACCACTGCATTGGATGCCACTGGGCCCTATTTGAAAACAAAGCACACAGAGTAATGCTCTACAGGGCTCTGCTGCTTGTTTTCTTTTTTAAAACTCAATTTCATGGCTTAGAGAGTCTGGCCACACAGACGGATGACCTCCAGATCGCTGCCTAGCATGGCTGGATTTCCCGTGTCCCCAGCACATGTTATCACTTAGTGGCCAGAATAGGACTTCTGCCCTCAGGAAACTGGGGCTTCCAAGTGCAGTTAAAATACACTTGCTGACAAGGCTGTAGCAAGTCAGGTCCCTCCTGTGTGATCTTGTGCTGAGGCAGGGAAGGAAGGCGAAGCAGAGAAGTGCTCTGTTTTTCTTTCTTGTAGTTTCCAGAATGTACAGGTGCAGTTTCTGAGCCAGTAACAAACTAAGAACGTCTTGTATGAGTCAAGCTAACCCTTTGGTCATCAGAAGCTGGTGTTTTAAACTGCTGAAAAGCAATGAGGCACATCTCACTTACAGGTTAATAACTGACTACGAGACATGGGTGTCCCAAATGGTCTTGGAGATATTGGGCCTGAGAGACAACACCAGAGCTGCCTCCCCATGCCCCCACACGTCTCTCTCCACCTGAAGCCCACTCAGTTCTTTTTGCCAAGTGACCAGTATGTGCTAACAAAGCCTGGGACACTTTCTCATAGAAATGTACTTCAACCCCATGTAACCAGATTGATTTTTTTTTCTGGCTAATCTAGATTGGTCGACTGATTATTGGACAGAATGGCATCTTGTCAACGCCTGCTGTGTCCTGCATTATTAGAAAGATCAAGGCAGCTGGTGGAATCATCCTGACAGCCAGCCACTGCCCTGGAGGACCAGGGGGAGAGTTTGGAGTGAAGTTTAATGTTGCCAATGGAGGTATGTGGTTCAGAATATGCCTTAATTGTCATGATTTCTTTCCTCTTATATCATGATCTTACAATGACCCCATGATGTCAGATAAGCTAGGCAGAGAGTGAATGGCTCAGAAAAGTCTAGTGAGGTACCTGTAGTAGTCAGGGTTTTCCAGAGAAGTAGAACCAATAGGACATATAGATTGTCTCCAACTTAGGATGGTTTGATTCAGAGATTTTTTTTTACTTTACACTTTATAGTGTAAAAGCAATATGCATTCAGTAGAAACCTGTTTCATTGGAATTTCAAATTTTGATCTTTTCCTCGGTTAGCAATGCTGTATAATTCTCTCTCGTGATGCTGGGCAGCACGTGTAGCTCCTACCCGACCACAAGAGTAAACAACCAGTACATTTACAGCCACTCTGTACCCATTCAGCTCAGTTGGTAAAGAATCTGCCTGCAGTGCAGGAGACCCTTGTTCGATTCCTGGGTCGGAAAGATATGCTGGAGAAGGGATAGGCTACCCACTCTAATATTCTTGGGCTTCCCTGTGGCTCAGCTGGTAAAGTATCTGCCTGCAATGTGGGAGACCTGGGTTTGATGCCTGGGTTGGGAAGATCCTCTGGAGAAGGGAAAGGCTATCCACTCCAGAATTCTGGCCATGGACTGTATAGTCCATGGGGTCGCAAAGAGTCAGACACAACTGAGCGAGCTTCACTTTCACTTTGCACCCATTCTGTTTTTCTCTTACAGTTCAATAAACTAAATTAATTAAATGAGATACTCAGCACTTTACTATAAAACAGGCTTCAGGATAGATGATTTTGTACAACTGTAGACTACCAAGGTGTTCTCAGCACTCTTATGATAGGCTAGGTTAAACCATGGTGTTAGATGTATTAAATGCATTTTTGACTTATGATATTTTCAGTTTACAATGGGTTAGTCAGAATATAACTTGTTGTAAGTCCAGGAAGATCTAGAAAGAGATTTATTTTAATGAATTGGCTTATGTGGTTAAGGAGGCTATGAAGTCCCAAGATCTTTCCAGGAGAGTGGATGATATAGTTCTGATCGGAGTCTGAAGGCCTGAGAAGCAACAGAGCTGATGGTGTAAGTTCCAGTCTGAGTCCCTGTCTGAAAGCAGAGTGGGGCCAGTGTGGCAGGTGGAAAGTGAATTTTCCCTTCCTCAGTCTTTTTGTTCTGCCCGTGCCTTTGGTAGGTGGGGTGAGGCCCAGCCATGCTGCGGAGGGAGGTCTGCTTCACTCAGTCTGCTGTCAGTCCAACCCAGACTCACCCTCACAGACATACTCAGAGTAACGTTTAACTGAACATCTGGGCTCTCTGTGACCCAAGCAAGCCGGCACGTAAAATTAAGCATCATGTTGCCTCAGGTGATGTGACAAGGAAGGGGCACAATGGGGTCTTATACCCATTTGGTCTCTGGGTCGCCTGCTCTCCTCAGCACAGTGCAATGGTTGAATATTGATGTTTATCTGACATGGAAGGACCCCAGATTTTAAAGTTGAAGCAGACCCTCAAAGTCATTTAGATCATTCCCATCATTTTACAAATAAACAAATCAAAGCCCTGAGAGGCTGTTGGCTCAAGGTCACATTGTCAGACAGAGGACTTTGTAGCATAAGTCCTACATTCTCCCTTTCCTATAGTGTTGACTTTCTCTTACTAACCTGCTTAGAATTATTTCACTTTTTCTTGTATTTATAGAAATTTATAGTTTAGAAGGGCTTCCCTGGTGGTAAGCCAGTGGTAAAGAATCTGTCTGCAGTGCAGGAGACTCAGGAAATGCTGGTTTGATCTCTGGGTCGGAAGATCCCCCAAGGAGGGCATGGCAACCCACTCCAGTATTCTTGCCTGGAGAATCCCATGGACAAAGATCTCTGGGTTGGAAGATCCCCCAAGGAGGGTATGGCAACCCACTCCAGTATTCTTGCCTGGAGAATCCCACAGACAGAGATCTCTGGGTCGGAAGATCCCCCAAGGAGGGCATAGCAACCCACTCCAGTATTCTTGCCTGGAGAATCCCATGGACAGAGGAGCCTGGCAGGCTACAGTCCATGGGATCACAAGAGTCAGACACAACTGTAGTGAATGAGCATGGACAGTTTAGAAGTTCTAGTGGGGTGGGGTATGTGTATAAGGGTGAATTAAAACATTTTTGAACATGTATAAAATGTAGGGTAGGAAGGATAATAATAAATGGATACCATATATTCATTACTCTGTTTATCCATTTTGCTTTTTTCCCCTAATGACTTTGCTGAAGGCTTAAATATTTCTGACTACATCTCTTTAAAATAAAGATATATTCCTGTATAACTACATGGTCATACCTAACAAAAATCATAGTAATTCTCTAATGTAATCTAAAATCTCATCTATATTTAAAATTTTCTGAGTGTCCCCCAAATGCTGTTCACATCTGCTTTGTTAAAACCAAGTTTTGTCCCAGAACCATGCGTTGCATTTGGTTTGGTCTCTTAATCTCTTTTAGTCTAGAACACTAAGTCTTCATGTATATGTGGGTGGGAGCTGAAGTTTAACCAACAACTGTTGCCGTTATGAAGCATTCCTGGCCCAGGCACAGTAGCACATCTTGAAAGGGAAGTACATGATTGCCCCCTCCTTGCAGCCATTTTGGATATTATTCAAAGAAAGAATGTTACTCATGTCAAGTGTTTAAAAAAAACCAAAAACCTTATGAAGAGCCTTATTTTTGAAGGTATGGTTCAAGAAACCCTGCTTCACCAAAAAGCACACCTTGGGCCAATATTTAGTCTTGCAGAAGCTACTGAATATTTCAGGAAAAAATATGCAAAGCGCAGGTATTCTATATACTTATAGGACATTTCATGTACTCAGAATATGGCAATGAAATGTAATATATAAGTAACATAAAAGTTGCCAACCTAAATAATGTATTTAAACATTTGAATTAATATCTGACTGAATATCTTAGAATCTCAGTCATCTCTGTGATAATTTGTGAGGTGTAAAAGGAAAAGATACTATTTAAGTAACCTTTTTTAGACTGAATTGCAGGAGGTTATGAGACTTGCTCAGTCATGAACTGAATAGGTGAAGGGGGTTGAATTTATCATTTAGCCTTTAACTATGTTGAAAGTCCTTCCTTTTACATTTATTTCTTCATGTTTACATGTCTTGGCATCATTAATGAGACTAACATTCCTACTAGCATGGAGAGATTCGGTTGGCTTCTTCCTGCTTAGAGTGAGTTTAATCATGACATCTTTCATCCGAAGTTGCAAGTTACACACAGTCATCTCTTCCATTGAGTGTTATACAGATACATCTCATGGAATAAGTTAAAAGGCAAAATGTCTGCAGAGTTAGTAGGTACATCCAGAGAAATAGGATGCATCTAAAACTGTGTTGCTTTTAAATTATTTATAGAACAGGACTTTTCTGAGCATGTTTGTAAATAGGGGGGAAGATGCTAGAAGACAAAAGGTATCAATAATAAAAATACTTTTTTAAATACTTAGAGTGTGCCAAGCTACATACTCAGAACTTTACATCCATGTTCTCATTTAATTCTCATAACAGCCTGATGAAGTCACTGAGGAATAAAAGTGGCTTAAAAAACTTGACCAGTATCACAGAAGTCATAAGTTGTGGAGTTCATTTGGAACCTAGATTCCAATAAGTGGGCAGAACTTCTGAGTGAAAAGGCAGAGCTGAGGGAAAGAAGCATCTAGAGGGGTGCAGAATGGAAACTTTGGGAAATAGTTGCTTATACCTCTTGTAAAGGAAGAGAAGGAAATGTTGCCTGTTAGATCAGTCAGTCCTAAGGAAAAGGAAATCAGTCCTGAATATTCATTGGAAGGACTGATCTGAAGTTGAAATTCCAATACTTTAGCTAATGCATATACCTGATGCAAAGAACTGAGTCCTTGGAAAAGACCCTGATGCTGGGAAAGATTGAAGGCAGGAAGAGAAGGGGATGACTAGAGAATAAGATGGTTGGATGGCATCACTGACTCAATGGACATGAGTTTGAGCAAGCTCTGGGAGTTGGTGATGGACAGGGAAGCCTTGTGTGCTGCAGTCCATGGGGTCGCAAAGCGTCAGACATGACTGAGCAACTGAACTGAACTGAAGATAATGGAGCAAAGATAGCGAAGGGACTTGGGATAAATGGAGATGTTTTGTAAAAGGTCCTCTGGAGAATTTGTTGAAGATACCTGAGGAATTGTGGGGATCAAGGTGAACTTAAGCAGCCTCATTCTTTGGGGTAACCAGTTTGGGTTATTTCATGACTGCCTTCAGCAGCATATGGGAGTCTGGTAATGGCAGCAATGGAGCAAATGATGGCAATGGGGAATGACAGTGTGGGCAAGGCAGAGCAGCAAGAGAGCTGGTAGTTGTTAAGAATGTCTGAGTTGACATTAGACTCTTAGGATTCAAACCCACCCTCTGTTAACACCAGTGATGTGACCTTGCTTAAGGTCATCTCTTCCAAGTTCAGTTTCCTTATTTGGAAAATGAAGATATTAATAGTTCTTACTTCATATACTTTTTGTGTGTGCTAAATTCCACATAAGGTGTGAAATGTGTTATGTGTAAATTTCAACAAATGTTGGCTTGTCTTATTATGCTAACAATGAACGGGAAGGCTCAAATGCTAGACCACAGGGTCCTTCTGGGATAAGAAACCAGTGAAATGAGAATGGACTGATAGTCTGGGAGTAATCAAGTGATGATGGACTTCAGTATAGGAATGAGGAACAGGTTCAGCACAGGTATGGAGTAGGAGTAGCGTAGATAGAAGATTAGGAATTTGTGGAATGAAGATACTCAAATTTGATATTTTTGAAATAAGAATTTCAAGAGACAATTCCTGGCATGACTGTACTAGGAACTGACTTAAATGAAGAAGGAAGTTATTGGAGTGGAAGATGTTAAGAACTGAGAAGATGTAAAAAGATACAAAGGATTTTGATGACCTCAGAGGTTATCAGCATGGCTGACTGAGCAGCATCTAGCTGGTTACAACTTGTTTTACTTTTGGAAATCAGTGTGCTTTGGGGTAACTCAGACAGAGACTTTAAAAATGTGATGGAGATATCCCAAGAACATAACATGGTGCCTGGGAGCCAGAGGGATACTCATGTATCATCTGGGAAGCATAAAAAAAATTGCAAAGCTAAGTAACTCTATTTACTTTTTTAAGTTTTGCAAAAGAATGAAAAATGTAAGGAGTGAAGTTGAGAAGGACTATGTTTATTTCTTTGTGGTCTTCACTTTTCCTGTAGGAGAACATGGGGGTATTAAAATATATTAGGCTTTTTTCCATCCAGTGAAATCGTGCTATTGCTATTCCTTTCCCCTCTCTTCATTGAGGTGTAATTGATATATTAAAAGCCTGTACATATTTAATGTATGTAGCTTGGTGAGTTTGGTCATTATTCATTTTTATATGTTCAAGGAACCTTCTTTGGGGGTGATAACAATGATATGGGCTTCCCTGGTGGCTCAGTGGTAAAGAATTCTCCTACCAATGCAGGAGACTCACGTTTGATCTCTCGGTTGGGAAGATCCCCTGGAGAAGGGAATGGCAACGCACTCCAGTATTCTTGACTGGACAGTCCCATGGGCAGAGGAGCCTGGAGGGCTAGAGTCCATGGGGTCATGAAGAGTCAGACATAACTTAGTGACTAAAACAGCAGCTACCATGCTATATTCTAAGGCAGCACTGTCTAATAGAAATATATTGTAAGCCATACATGTAATTAAAAATTTTCTAGTAGCCACATAAAATAGTAAAAAGAAGCAGGTGAAATGAATAAAATTTTTTATTTCACTTGATGTATCCAAAATATTATCACTTCAACATGTTACTATAAAATTATGACTATAATCTATTCTGGTTTTATACTAACTCTTCAAAATTTGGTGTGTATTTTATAATTATAGCACATGTCAGTTTAACTAGTCCTATTTCAAGTGTTCAAGAGCCACATGTGGCTAGAGGCTATTGAATTGGACAGCATAGTTCTAAGGGCTGGGATAGAAGAGAAATCAAGAAACAGTTGCAGTTCAATAGAAAATTATAATGTAACTAGTGAGTGAGATCAATACACAAAGCTATCTATCTGTCAATCATTTATATTTTAGATCTTCAGTCTACTTATTTACTTGATTCCCAGACTTATTGCAAAAAATCCAAAGTAGCTTGCAATAAGATATAAAAATTGAAAAAGGGAACAACTGTTGATTTCATGTTCAATTCATTTAAAGCCTATCACTTGACCTTAATTGTCAACTTGACCTTGTGAAGATGTGCATCAGATATTTTAAACTTCACTTTGAAAACTTGGGAGTCACTAGAGAGTATGAGTTGGGAAAACTAATGTACCCTGATCAACTTACACCCCAAATAGGCAGCAGACCTGGGAGTAGAAGTCATACTTTCTTTCTCTACGTACATTTGGGAGGCTGCAGTTTAACTCTGGAGTCCCTCACTTCTGTCAAATGCATATCCTGTTTGTGTCTCATATCCTGAATAAAGCTGATGACATAACCGGGTCTCCCTGGCAGGTGTGCAACTATTTTTAGAGAAGACATCTCATGCTTAAAAGTGGATTAAAACAAAGCAACACATGGGTTATTAGCTTGCATGGAACAGGTGAGGCTGGCCCTGTTTCCTCCAGAGTGAATGGATAAGAAATACTGAAGCCATTTGAACTGTGAACTGTTGACTGTTATCTAGAACACAAAGAAATCTTTCTCCTGCTTGGTAGAGGAAGAGTTAACATTTCTCTGATTTATTTTTTATGCAAATTTATTTTTGGTGGTGCATTATTTTCCAATTTTAGGTCCTGCTCCAGATGTCGTCTCAGACAAAATCTACCAGATCAGCAAAACAATTGAGGAATACGCTATATGCCCTGATTTGCGAATTGACCTGTCTCGACTAGGAAGACAAGAATTTGACCTGGAGAACAAATTCAAACCATTTAGAGGTAATTGGGAAATTGTATTTTGAAGAAAATTAGAACTCTGTGGATGGAGGTGACATTTTTTCTTCAGGGGAGAGCACACACACAAGTGATGGAATTATCAATTTTAGGAGTGGCACTTGATAAATAGATATAAACTGAGTGTGGTGTGGAGGGAAATGAAAGCAGCCAAGATATTTGGAACTGGCAACTTTCAACAACTACTTTCCAAACTATCATTTTTGACATAGGGAACATTTCACGGCTGACTCTTTTACAGTGTTCCAAGAATAGACTGTGAATTGCCAACACATGTCTTTACTTCTCGAAGCAATTAAGGTGAAGATGCTGAGATACTTTAGATAATTAAAAAGAGACGTAAAAGGTAATGGAGTTATTAAAATTTCCTATGGAAGATAGTCATTTCTTTTCCAAGCTAGGATCATGCAGTTTATCTTGATTCAATTCATGTTGACCACCTGCTCTATACCATGCTCCATGATAGAAGATTTTACAAAGGAATTCACTAAGTACCAAATGGATTTAGGAAAATGGTTCAAAAATTAAAAACCAGGATGAAGTTGCCAAAAATATTATCCTGTATGGTAGAGTGAATAAAACTTCTAAGTCCTCAGATTATAACCTTTCAATTTGTAGATTAATATTGAACCATGTAATAACATTAATACCAAGTAAATGCATATCATTTTCACCCTCTATTTTATCCTGTTGCTTTCTCCTTCAAGGCATACAAATAGCAATAAAACAAACTTTTTTTTAAAACTCCTTCAGTGCCCCTATCAGCTTAAATCCAGTTTGTATTAAGATGGTATCCTTATTTTACAAGTAATTTATTTAGTTCAAAAGGTGAAATACCTAGTTCATGGCCACATGGTATTTTAGGGACAGAGAGGAGCTTGAAATGTACTATTTGGAGACACAGTGTTGGGCCAGCTCTATCAGTTTTCTTGGAAGATTTTGAGGCAATTGCTTGCTTAGCTTGTGAGCAGAAGTTAATTGAAAGCCATGTGATACTTACAGGATGCAATGATTCCTGATTTTATTAATCTAGTTGGGAGTATTCATATACACAATGGCTTGACAACTAAAAGCAAGGGATATTTTACGTTGACTAAGTGATTTAAGTATACTTGATTACATATGTTTGGATGTACTGGAAAATAAGATGACAGAAAAAGCAGGTATTATTATATTATCAGGAAGAAATTTTGTTGGTTGATTGAATCTTCACAGTTGTACTAGTTGTTCAAGAGACCCAGATCTTTGGTGGCTCAGATTCAGGCCCACTGTTTCAGCTACATTGCTCACTTGGTGAGTTTTCTATAGGGCTACAGACACCACGAGGTAGAGGGAGACATTTCCTGGTCTCAAGAATTTGAAAATGATTGGGATAATTTATGTGCTGTGTTCTTGCTGTTTAAATGTTGAGCAAGACTTCAGTTAATTGGAAACAATTTAGTCTTTGGCATTTCATCTTAAAGGATGAAGAGCAAGAACTATGTGATGTGACCTTTCAGTTTTCATGGAAATCTATTTGCTTCCTTGTTTTTTACATTTTTGTTTGATATTAATGCTATTTATCTGCTATAAATACCAAATGTATTTAGGCAAGTAGTTCAGGAATTAGACCCAGAATGAAATTGCCAAAAACATCATGCTATATTGTAGAGAGAGTAAAACTTCAAACATATTCAAGCCGTAACCTTTCATTTTATAGATTAATTTTTTATTGTGATAAAATATATGTAACATATACTATGTTAATAATTTTTAGATGTGTTTTGCATAAACTTTTTTTTTTTGTTTTGTTTTTTGCATAAACTTTTAATTAATTTATTTTATAGATTAGTATGGGCTTCCCTGGTGGCTCAGTGGTAAAGAATCCGCCTGCAATGCAGGAGACGCAAGAGATGCAGGTTTGATTCCTGAGTCAGGAAGAGCCTCTGGAGAAGGAAATGGCTGCCCACTCCAGTATATTTTTGCCTGGAGAATCCCATGGACAGAGGAGCTTGGTGGGCTACAGTCGATAGGGTCTCAGAGTCAGACATGACTGAGCATAGATTAATATCCTCCTCCTATCAGAGATGATTAAAAACTATTTGTATTCTTGAAGAAGTTATTATATTTGAACTTGATTTAAGTGCAATGAAAGTATTTTTAGTGTGTATTTGACCAGATGAAAGGATAGTTTCATGTTACATATAAAATCTCACCCACTAAATACTGCACCTGGATTTACTAAAAATTATTAAAGGTGGATTGGTAATATCTTTAGTGCAGGTTTAAATGTTTCAAGGTTCCAAAGTAGTATGTGTTTGAAAAATTTGAACAACAGCATAACATAAGTTTCAAAATTTAACTACAAATTACAAAAGCAGAGCTCATGGACAAATTTTAGTGCCTAAAATGAAATACTTATTATTTCTGGGAAAAATATTTTCTGAGTACTAATTTTGTACCGATCACCAAGTTTGAAAAGTGTGATGTATTCTGGGTTTTATGAATCTGAAATAAATGGAAAAGACTTGATTTGGTTGTCTGGTCATTAGGTGGTGCAGGAGAGCATGTGTGTTTAATGAAGATTTCTAAATATCTGGCACTGGAGAGCATTTGTGTTTAATGAACATTTCTAAATACCTGGCACTCATCTTGAACCTGGTAATAGACTGGGCACACGGGAGACTTTACACAAACTCAGAAAAATATCTTTTATCACCAATTCAGAACATGAATCTGCTTGGTACCATGGCATTTAGAAAGTAGGGGTCACTGCTGAGGTTACTTCTTGATTTGTTTCAGGCCAGCTGAGTCATTTTTTGGTCAGTCCCCACAGGAGAGGCAACCGGTTTTGCCAAGATGTCTCTTAGCATTGAGGTGTTTGCAGTTTGTGGGAGGGAATGGTGGAATGAAGAGAGTGGGGACAATAGGCATAGTTTTATCTTAATTACTTTATTCTTGTGGTTGATTTTTCACTTGCAAAGAAGAATTTGCAACTTGATATTTTTTATACCAGTTAATCACCTGCAAAGTTTGTAGCATCTTGATTGTGCTTTGTGATTTTGTCTGCAAATGGACACTTTGCTTCCCGTGTTAATGTGTGGGGTTATGATGGGATTGTGATCAAAATTTCATGCTTTTTTATGCTTCCAAGAATCCCTCATGGGTGGTCATTGGTGTCTTCTTTGGCTTTCCTATCCTTAGTGGAGATAGTGGACCCAGTGGATATCTATCTCAACCTCCTTCGGACCATTTTTGACTTTAACGCCATCAAGAGTTTGCTGACTGGGCCTGGCCAACTGAAGATCCGAGTTGATGCCATGCATGGAGGTAAGCGTGTAGTCTTCTGCCAAGTGGTGAACAAGAAATGGTAAAGGAGACCTCAATGTGTGTTGGGTTTCTGGGATTATGAGGAAGGTTGAATTCATAGATATTCACATGACATGTGTATGTTCAGATAGATATGTGCGATATTCTGGAAGGCTTCAGGGCTTTGATCTCTCTTTTTTGATGCAACTGAAAAAAAACTGGAGCATATGATTTTGAGGCTATGCCTGTTAGAGTGTGGAGTGGAAATAGCAAAATTGTAAATTAAAAAAAAATTTTGATCACAGTACATAATTGAAAAAGTCAGATAGTTCAGAGCTTGCTATGAAAAAAATCCTTCACAACTCCTTTCCCCAATTTTCTACTTTCCAGGGGCAGTCTTTTTTTTTTTTTTTAGGTATTTATCTCCCTATTACTAAGTACTGTGAATATACTGCTCCTTGTTGATTTTTCAGTTTGAGCTGTTACGACTTCACACTATGGAAGATGAATCTGTAGTTCTTTTTCACCATCTCCAGTCGCTAAATCCAAGCACACTTCCTTAAACAAGTTATATTATCATTTTGGTAAGATCAATATGCAGTGTCTAGACTAATCATAATATGGTTGAGCCATGCAAAATACTGTAATTATATTTTCCTTTCAGCACAGGTTTTTTACTTCTTTGGAATTAGTAATCATCTTGTTTTCTCTTTACTTAGTTTTTGTGAAGTGTATTTATCACTATTAACTCTCATACGCGTCTAGTGTCAAAACCTCTCACTTCATTTCCCTGGAGACCTGGAATGCCCTCTGTCTGCACTGGTAGCGCTCTGAGCTGCTGTTGTCCTGAAATCTCCACTTAGCATCATCCTGTAATTCCTTTTACCCCTTTCTTATGTTGACGCTCTTATTTCTGGGTCCATTGCCTTTTGCTTTCTTAATTTACTCCTACATTTTGGAGGAACACATTCTCCAGTTACTCTGTGAGAGAGAGCTCATGGGAGGTAAATGTTTTGAGTCATTACATGTCTGAAAATGCCTGTTTTCTATGCTCATTCTGAATTGATAATTATCTGAATATAAAAATCTAGGTTGGCTATTATTTTCCTTCAAAAGTTTAAGAGAATTGCTCCATTAGTCTTGTAGCCATTCCTACCAAACTCGAGAAATCTGATGCTATTCTGATTTTTAATTCACGTTTTGATGTTTCTTTTTTTCTTTTCTGGAGGGTTTTGGGGGCTTTGATATGTGTTCAGTGTTCCTTCTTTTCACAATGATGAGTCTGAGTGTGGGACTACATTTCTCTATTGTGCCAGGCACTTGGAGGATCCTTTGAATCTAGAAACTTATGTCCTTTCATTGGGGGAAGTTTTCTTGCATTACTTCTTGGATGATTCCTCCATTATTTTCTCTTTCCTTTCTCCATAATGGCTATTGTTTAGATATTGAGTCTACTGGACAGATCTTTTAATTATCCTATTCTTTCCCCCAACATCCATTTTTCTTCTCTTTGTTTTGTGCTACTTTCTGGCAGATTTCCTCAACTTTAGCTCTAAGTCCTTCTGTTGTTTTTCAGTTCCACTATCATATTTTTAATTTCCAAAAACATTTTTTTTGTTTTCCAAATAACTCTTTTTAAAAATAACTTCCTATTCATGTTTCATGAATACCATATCTTTTTTTTAATAAGTCAGATGTACTGAGGTATCAAATTTATTTGCAGTAAAGTTGATACTTTGTTGGTATACAGTTTGATGAAGTTGGAAAAACATGTACAGTAATGTAACCACTCTGACAGTCAAGGTTTAGAATATTTCCCTTGCTTCCACAAATTTTTTTGCATCCCTTGAAGTTTTACCTCTCCTCTTTCCCCTAGTCCCTGGCAATCACTCATCTGCTTTTTGCCCCATAGTTTTACCTTTTCCAGAAAGCCATATGAATGGAAACATACAATATGTAGCTGTTTTCTTCAGGCTTTTTTCACTCGGCATAAGGTTTTAGAGATGCATTCATGGTGTTGTATGTATCAGTGGTTATTTCTTATTACTAATGAGTAGTATTCCTTTATATAGATGTACTACATTCTGTTTATCCATTCACCACTTGATACAATCAGGGTTATTTCTAGGTTTTGGCTACTATAAACTGCTACAGACATTTGTGAAAAAGTCTTTATAGGAATATATGGTTTCCTTTGTTTTGGATAAATACCTAGGAGTGAGATTGCTGGGTCATGTAATGTGTATATTGAACTTAATAAGTAATTGCCAAACTATTTTCCAGAGTGACTACCATTTGCACTAACAGCAGAGTATGAAGGCTCCAGTTCCTCTATGCTCTCACCAACACTTGGTATTCTCAGTCTTCAGTTTTATAGCCAGTCTGCCACATCTTCTTCATCTCTATTAGGATCTGACCGATACGTACTTTAAAAGATTTCTTCTCCCTCTGTAGTTTCTCTTTCTTCCATGATTTTCTTTACTCTATTTGTTTTGGTCTCATGTTAAAGAGTGAATTCAGTTCAGTCACTTAATCATGTCCAACTCTTTGCAACCCCATGGACTGCAGCATGCCAGACTTCCCTGTCCATCACCATTTCCTGGTGCCTTTTCAAACTCATGTCCATCAAGTTGTTGATGTAATCCAACTGTCTCATCCTCTGTTGTTCCCTTCTCCTGTCTTTAAGAATGAGGCACTAAAAATTTTGCTGGGAGCTCTGAGCCGATGTGTGGAACTTATCTTCCAAGGGCTTCACTCTAAGATCTTCCACCTGGGCTGTTTTGTTCTTTCCTATTCAGTTCAGTTCAATTCAGTCACTCAGTTGTGTCCAACTCTTTGCGACCCCATGAACTGCAGCACACCAGGCCTCCCTGTCCATCACCAACTGCCGGTGTTTACCCAAACACATGTCCATTGAGTCGGTGATGCCATCCAACAATCTCATCCTCTGTCGTCCCCTTCTCCTCCTGCCCTCAATCTTTCCCAGCATCAGGGTCTTTTCAAGTGCGTCAGCTCTTTGCATCAGGTGGCCAAAGTGTTGGAGTTTCAACTTCAACATCAGTCCTTCCAATGAACACCCAGGACTGATCTCCTTAGGATGGACTGGTTGGATCTTCTTGCTGTCCAAGGGACTCCCAAGAGTGTTCTCCAACACCACAGTTCAAAAGCATCAGTTCTTCTGCGCTCAGCTTTCTTTATAGTCCAACTCTCACATCCATATATGACTACTGGAAAAACCATAGCCTTGACTAGATGGACCTTTGTTGACAAAGTAATATCTTTGCTTTTTAATATGCTGTGTATGTTGGTCATAACTTTCCTTCCAAGAAGTAAGCGTCTTTTAATTTCATGGCTGCAATCACCATCTGCAGTGATTTTGGAGTCCCAAAAAATAAAGTCTGACACTGTTTCCACTGTTTCCCCATCTATCTGCCATGAAGTGATGGGACTGGATGCCATGATCTTAGTTTTCTGAATGTTGAGCTTTTAAGCCAACTTTTTCACTCTCCTCTTTCACTTTCATCAAGAGGCTCTTTTGTTCTTCTTTACTTTCTGCCATAAGGGTGGTGTCATCTGCATATCTGAGGTTATTGATATTTCTCCTGGCAATATTGATCCCAGCTTGTGCTTCTTCCAGCCCAGCCTTTCTCATGATGTACTCTGCATATAAGTTAAATAAGCAGGGTGAAAATATATATCCTTGACATACTCCTTTTCCTATTTGGAACCAGTCCATTGCTCCATGTCCAGTCTAACTGTTGCTTTCTGACCTGCATACAGGTTTCTCAAGAGGCAGGTCAGATGATCTGGTATTCCCATCTCCTTCAGAATTTTCCACAGTTTATTGTGATCCACACAGTCAAAGGCTTTGGCATAGTCAATAAAGCAGAAATAGATGTTTTTCTGGAACTCTCTTGCTTTTTTGATGATCCAGCAGATGTTGGCAATTTGATCTCCGGTTCCTCTGCCTTTTCTAAAACCAGCTTGAACATCTAGAAGTTCACAGTTCACGTATTGCTGGAGCCTGGCTTGGAAAATTTTGAGCATTACTTTACTAGCGTGTGAGATGAGTGCAATTGTGTGGTAGTTTGAGCATTCTTTGGCATTGCCTTTCCTTGTGATTGGAATGAAAATTGACCTTTTCCAGTCCTGTGGCCACTGCTGAGTTTTCCAAATTTGCTGGCGTATTGAGTGCAGCACTTTTACAGCATCGTCTTTCAGGATTTGAAATAGCTCAACTGGAATTCCATCACCCCCACTAACTTTGTTTGTAGTGATGCTTCCTAAGGCTACTTGACTTCACATTCCAGCATGTCTGGCTCTAGGTGAGTGTGAATGGTCACACCATCGTGATTTTCTGGGTCATGAAGATCTTTTTTTGTACAGTTCTTCTGTGTAATCTTGCCACCTGTTCTTAATATCTTCTGCTTCTGTTAAGTCCATACCATTTCTGTCCTTTATTGAGCCCATCTTTGCATGAAATGTTCCCTTGTTATCTCTAATTTTCTTGAAGAGATCTCTAGTCTTTCCCATTCTGTTGTTTTCCTCTATTTCTTTGCACTGATCACTGAGGAAGGCTTTCTTATCTCTCCTTGCTATTCTTTGGAACTTTGCATTCAAATGGGTATATTTTTCCTTTTCTCCTTTGCTTTTCGCTTCTCTTCTTTTCACAGCTATTTGTAAGGCCTCCTCAGACAGCCATTTTGCTTTTTTGCACTTCTTTTTCTTGGGGATGGTCTTGATCCCTGTCTCCTGTACAGTGTCACAAACCTCTGTCCATAGTTCATCAGGCACTCTGTCTATCAGATCTAGTCCCTTAAATCTATTTCTCACTTCTGCTGTATAGTCATAAGGGATTTGATTTAGGTTGTACCTGAATGGTCTAGTGGTTTTTCCCACTATCTTCAATTTAAGTCTGAATTTTGCAATAAGGAGCTCATGATCTCAGCCACCGTCAGCTCCTGGTCTTGTTTTTGCTGATTGTATAGAGCTTCTCCATCTTTGGCTGCAAAGAATATAATCAGTCTGATTTCAGTGGTGACCATCTGGTGATGTCCATGTGTAGAGTCTTCTCTTATGTTGTTGGAAGAGGGTGTTTGCTATGACCAGTGCGTTCTCTTGGCAAAACCCTATTAGTATTTGCCTTGCTTCATTCTGTACTCCAAGGCCAAATTTGCCTGTTAATCCAGCTGTTTCTTGACTTCCTACTTTTGCATTCCGGTCCTCTATAATGAAAAGGACATCTTTTTTGGCTGTTAGTCCTAAAAGGTCTGTAGGTCTTCATAAAACCGTTCAACTTCAGCCTGGTTGTATTCAGCAGAAATACAACTTTGGGCTAGTTATATTCTGCAGAAAAGGCTGTTTCTCTTTCTTGCCTTAGCATTATCTGACCTAGAGGGAAGAGAGTTTCTCTTCTCACAGAGTTTGAAAATGGTTTCTGGATTTGAGCCTCACTGCCTAGCTTTTACCATGTGTTCATCTCTGAATCAGTCACTCTGGTTGAGGGATGGAGGATACTGATTTGCAGACCTAGGTCACCTCCCTAGTCTTGGGGGAAGTATCAGATTCCAAGAACTGAGATGGAAAAAGGATTGGTTCTCTAAAGACCCAAAATACTGCTATCAGAGGAAAGGAAAAAGGGTGCTGCGCAGGGAAAATGGGTGCTGGGCAGGCAAAATCAAAGTGTGTTCACTGTTTGTGGTTTGTATTCTATTAGTTGAAAATAAATGGAAAGCGGTACTTTTATATATTTCAGCCAACAGGATTACATGCTTGTCCCCAAATGTGCTGTATGTTCTACCTCAGACTCCATTCCCTTGCTCACAGTGTTCTTTTCATTTGGATAGCATCCTTACTCCTGTCAAATTTATATTCTTCCATGTTCTCCCAGAAATGCTGCTCTATTTTGAAGCCTTGCCTATGGTCATTTCTCTTTTAAACTGTTGGATTTCATTGTTTAATAAATACATTATACACCGAATTCAACTAGTCTTACAAGTCCAGTCACTCACCTGCAGATTTGGCTCATCCCACTGCCAGACTGAGGGCCCAAACTGAGAGCACTTTGTGTCCCTGGATGCCCTCCATTCTTCACATAAGAGTTCTGTGTTAGGCACTCCATGAATGTGTGTTGAACTGGAAAACACAACTCCTTAGTATTTATTTTGTAAAATGTACTTAGTTGTATATGCTTCAGTGGTTGGCAGGGTTTAATTATACACTTGGCAAAGTTAAAACAGCTGTAGAGACAAAGAACATCGCTAGAGCCTTTAAGTGCTTTTGCATATATTTAACTAATGCTTTTAATATACAAAGTAACAGCCCATGAGTTATTATTAAGTAGTTGATTTCTTTTTGGCAGTATTTTAGGAAAGTTTTGGAGAAAAATTTCATGCAACTGGATTACTGAGTACAACTTCTATATGCCTAACATAGTCACTGGCACATAGATGCTAAATGAGTAGTAATTGAAGTAACCATTATTCTGTGCTTGAAAAAACTTGTAGAATTTATCTTTTTTTTCCCTTGTGCTATGAAGTAGATGTCTTCTTCTAAGAAGAACAAAACACCCTTGAGGGAGTTCTGTAAAGATCTCACATTGCTGTGTATCTTTTTAAAGTTATGGGACCCTATGTGAGAAAAGTTCTGTGTGATGAGCTGGGGGCCCCAGCCAATTCTGCAATCAACTGTGTTCCTCTGGAAGATTTTGGAGGGCAGCATCCTGACCCCAACCTGACATATGCAACCACCCTTCTGGAAGCTATGAAAGGAGGGGAATATGGATTTGGAGCTGCGTTTGATGCTGATGGGGTAAGGAGGAAAGCTTTCTGCCTGCTGATCGTTTTGCTGTATAATGAGCCAAACACTGGAAACCAGAGAATTGTTGAATATCCCTGGGGCTGACATGTAAGGGGCATACGAACCCTAACTGGCTCTGCATCTGCCCTTCTACTTAATGGCCTAATATTGCATGTAAATAGCCATTGCTTTTCTTTTTCCAAGTAGCAGTATGTTATAAAGAGGTTATTTCTTTTAAAAAATTCATGCAATACGTCTTTATTCATGACTGATCTTGTTGAAATCACCATGTTAAGAAAACAGCTATTTTAGTAATAATCTCTGTTCTCCATTATGTTTGGGAGAAGTGTGAATGAAGAATGTAGAGGCTACTAAAGCCTGAGGAAGTCATCCACATTTCAACAGGTTGGATATTTTCCTAGCAGTGTCAAGATCCTGCACCCTGCAATATTCAGGGATTTTAGTTTCCCATGCCCTCTTTGGCCTCCTTCAAGTGGTTTTCCATTGTTTAAATCTGAGGATGGCAGTAAAGTGCTTGGTGATGATGATGGGAATGGATTGCTAGCAGCAGATGCCTTTGCCTGAACATTTTCACACATTCTTTCCCACAGGACCGTTACATGATCCTAGGCCAAAATGGCTTCTTTGTGAGCCCCTCCGACTCCTTGGCCATCATTGCCGCCAACCTCTCTTGCATTCCATATTTCCGTCAGATGGGAGTCCGAGGGTTTGGAAGGAGTATGCCCACCAGCACAGCCCTCGACAGGTAAGCAGAATGTCACTGTGAAAAACTTCATGACAGGCCTCTGATGTCGTTGTTCCTTCTGCTGGTAGCTCTCAATCATTCTCCCCTCGCACTTTGGGAACTTGTTGAAATTAGAGATATGGGAATTTAAAGACATGATATAGTTAATAGAAGTGTGAAAAATCAGGTGGCCTGAACTGGCTTCTGCTATATCTTAGCTCTCAGGAACTTGGGAGACTTATTTAATTTCTGTGTCTATGTTTTCTTATCTTTAAAATGAGCATGATAATAGTATTATCCTTACATGGGTTGTATGAGGTAGGAATGAGGTGATTCTTATAAACGATGTAACAGAATGCGTGGTTCATAGTAAATACTTCATAAATGGTAAGAAAACTTACTAAATATGTAAGCAAGGTAGAAAGAACATGAGTCTTAGGATCAGATAATATTATTTTAAAATGCTCACTTATCTCAGGCTTCCCTGGTAGCTCAGCTGGTAAAGAATCTGCCTGCAATCCAGGAGACCCTGTTTGATTCCTGGGTTGAGAAGATCCCCTGGAGAAGATCCCCAATCCAGTATTCTGGCCTGGAGAATTTCATGGACAGAGGAGCCTGGCAGGCTACAGTCCATGGGGTTGCAAAGAGTCAGACACGACTGAGCAACTTTTACTATATCATCATTAGCTCTGTAAAAACAGGGAAGATAAGTTTGTTGTGAGAATGAAGCAAGATACACATGGAAAATGCTCAATAGGAGACTCAGTAGATAACAATCTAAAGTTTCTTACCCTGGCCCTATCCACCCATCTTTTAGCTTATCTTAGGAAACAGTGAATTTCAGAGTCTAATATTTTCAAGCAATGTATATTATTGTGGAAGCAGTATTTGTTCATGCTGGAAAGTTAAAAAACACAGAAAAAGAGGAAAATGTAAGCAACTCTGCCTGAGCTGCTTATGTTAACTGATGAATGTATATTCCCTACTGAATCTCTTTATATACATGTATAATATATATGCATAGCTATAAATCATATATAACATACATAATATAATATAATATGTATAATATATATTTGCCTTTTTCTGAAACCAAAAAGAGATCTGAAAGTACAAACTGCCTTGTAACATTTTTTTCCCATCAACAATCTCCAACTTTGTCTTAATACAGTTTTATATCATCTAAAACCAAGGTCATACTCAAATTTCCCCCGAGTGTCCCTGGAGTGTCTTTAATGTATGGTTTTGCCCAAAGCAGCATCCTGTCTAACATCATACATTGCATCTGGTTGTCACATCTCTTAAGTCTTTTAGAATCTAGCACAAGCCTTTTATCTTTTATTTAATGATAACGATTTTTGAGGAGACCAGACCAGTTGTCCTGCAGAATCTCATCTCCTGGATGGTGAAGTTATTTCCTCATGGTGTTACCATTCATTCAATCATTCCTGAAGTAAATTTTATATGAAGTGAATTGAGTTAATCTTAAGGGTACAATTCAATGAGTTTTGGAAAAAGTATACATCTGGGTGGCAACCAATGAAAATAAGATATAGAACATTCCCATCACCCCCCAAAGTTCCTCCTTCCAATGCCCAATTGTAATTTCTTCTGCCATATTTAGGCTTTGCCTGTTCTTGAGCGTCACAAAAATAGAATCATATACTACATATTTATTACTGGTTTTTTCATTTAATATGTATTTTTTTATTCATCCACATTCACTGAATTTGTAACTAGTTCATTCCCCTATGTTGCAGTATAGTATATCAATGTACGAATATATCACAGTTTATTTTTCCAGTATCCTGTTGATGAACAGTTGGGTTGTTTTCAGTTATTAGATACTATAAATCATGCCATTATAAGCATTCTTACACGTGTCTTTTTGTTTATACATCTACATTTCTTCAGTTAATATCCAGGAGTAGAATACTGCTTGTAGGATAGATGTATGTTTAATTTAACAAGAAACTGCCAAACTGTTTTTCATTTTATACTCTTATTTGCAACGTGTGAGAGTTCTAGTAACTTCATATCTTCAATAACATTTGGTGTTATCAGTCTTTTTTATTTTAAGCAGTCTAGTGAGTGCAAAATAGTGTTTCATTTTGGTTTAAATTTGTATTTTTCTAGTGATGTTGAGCTCATTTTCATATGCTCATTGTCCATTTGTGAACTTCTTTGTTATGTACCTGTTCGAAATGTATTTGCTCAGTTGAAGGAGCATTGTTGGTCTTTTTGTTATTGATTTAGAGAAGTTCTTTGTATATTCTTGGTAATAAGTTTTTTTTTGGTCATACTGCCAGCTTGTGGGATCTTAGTTCCCTGACCAAGGATTGAACCCAGGTCCTCAGCAGTGAGAGGCCTAACCACTGGTCTGCCAGGGAATATCCTGGATAATGTCTTTTGTCAGATATATGTATTACAAATGTTTTCTCCATGCCTGTCACTTCCTCATTCAAATTCTTAATTGTGTCTTTTGATGAGCGTGAGTTTTAAATTTTGACAGTGTCCAATTTTTTTTCTTGTATAATTGTGTGCTTAGTCACTCAGTTGTGTCCGACTCTTTGCAACCCCATGGACTGTAGCCCACCAGGCTCTTCTGTCCATGGGGATTCTCCAGGCAAGAATACTGGAGCAGGTTGCTATGCTCTCCTCCAGAGGATTTTCCCAACCCAAGGATCAAACCCAGGTCTCCCGAATTGCAGGTGATTTTTTACTGCCTGAGCCACCAGGGAAGCCCAGGAATACTGGAGTGGGTAGCCGATCCCTTCTTCAGGGGGTCTTCCCGACCCAGGAATCGAAGCAGGGTCTTCTGCATTGCAGGCAGATTCTTTACCAGCTGAGCTACCAGGGAAGCCCTCATATAAATAATATATACTTTCTTATCCTCTGTAAGAAATCTTTGCTTACCCAAAGGTCAAAAAGATGTTTTTTCCTATCCTTTTAGAATCATTGTAGTTTAAATTTTGCATTTAAGTCTTTGATGATTTTGAATTAATTTTTCTGTGGGTTATAAGGCAGGGGTTGAGGCTTGTTTTTTCCCTATATGCAATTGTTATTGAAAAGAATTTACCTTTCCCTTGATGTGTTTGTTAAAAATCAGTTGACCATATATATGTGGGTCTGTTTCAAGATTATCTCTTCTGCTCCATTGATCTATTGTCTATACCTATGCCAATATTTCCTTGTCTTGATTATTGAAGTTTTAAAGTAGTTGGTTAAGTCAAATGACCCCCCCCAACTCTTCTTTTTTCGTCATATAGAAAAAATTATATATCTAATGTCCTTTGCATTTCTATATACATTTTAGAATCAACTTGTTATTTTCTACTAGGGCCTATTGCAATTTTGATTGAAATTGTGTTGAATCCAGAGAGCAATTCTGGAAGAATTGCATGTCAATAATACTGAGATTTCTAGCCCAGGAATGTGATATATCTCTAATTTTATTTAGTTTTCTTTAATTTCTCTTACATACTTTGTAGGTTAGTTTCTCTTCCATATATTTTGTAGTTTAGCGTGGAAATCTTTAGAATTTTTGTCAAATTGATTCACGAGTACTTTGTATATTTTGATGCTAGTGCAAATGGAATAGTTTTATAAGGTTAATTTTCCAGTTGTTTGCCGCTGCTAGTAATTAGAAATATAATTGATTTCCGTAAATTGATCTTTTATTCCTCCACCAGTACGGAGATGAATCAGATGCCTTTTGGATGCCCCCTATGTTACTTCTTTCCCTCAGGTGATATTGATGTAAAATCTGTGATGATGAAGCAACCACAGTTTAAAATTCTTGCCTACCAGCTCCAAAGGGTGGGATGTGTAATTCCATTCTTCCCCCTTTGCCTTGGTTTACATCTTTCCTTTAAAAAAAAACAAAACAAAACATGTACTACTTCCCTGGTGTCTGAGACAATAAAGCATCTGCCTACAGTGCGGGAGACCGGAGTTCAATCCCAGGGTTGAGAAGGTCACCTGGAGAAGGAAATAGCAACCCACTCCAGTATTCTTGCCTGGGAAATCCCATGTGCGGAGGAACTTGGTAGGTGACAGTCCATGGGGTTGCAAAGAGTCGGACACTACTGAGCGACTTCACTTTAAAAAAAAAAATCAGCAAAACTGTAGAAAGCAAAGCAAAAACCAGACTGTCTCTAGAAATGGAAAACCCAGAGTCACAGAGGATCCTGAGTTCTATGTAGGTTACTTAATATTCTGGGAGGATATATAAGGTGGCTCAGTGGTTGGTAAAGAATCCGCCTACCAGTACAGGAGACTTGGGAGAAATATGAGTTCAATCACTGTGTCAGAAAGATCCCCTGGAAGAGGAAATGGCAACCCACTCCAGTATTCCCTCCTAGAGAATCACATGGTCAGAGGAACATGACAGGCTGCTGTCCATGGGGTCACAAGGGGTCAGAAAGACCCAGCAACTGAGCATGCATGCACACTTATACATAATCTTACAATTTAAAAAGAACTTTCATTAACTTGAACTCACTTGATATTTGCAATAATTTAGAAAGGTACTTGGGTAGACATTACTCTCAGCATATTAAAGATGCTGAACCAATTATCAGAGAGATTAAGTGACTCACAGAAGGTTACACAGCTAATAAGAAAGTGACCTGGAATTTGAAACTATTGCATCTGCCTAGTAACTACAACTTAATCAGGATGGTTTCTGAGAAACCAGTTGTGAATATTGCTCAGCTCTCCCGTGGGGTAGGTAGTCAGCAGCTTCCCAAACCCTGGCCGGGAGGGACCATTTTCATTCTGACAACACAACCCATCTGTGCTCTTTTCTTACGGAAATTTCCCAGTTGTTCTTGGTTTCAGTTTATCCCTCCTTCCCAATGAATCTCTGTTTCAGTCAGAAACCAGAAGCCTTGCTTAGAAAGTTCACAGAGGACCTGTTCTGATATGTAAGTGACCATTTAAAAGGATTATTCATGCTTGCTGGTTGGGATTCAGAATTCTGTGGGCTCTGAAGTGGTGATTTGTTTTGGGTATTTGAT